GAGAGAGAGAGAGAGAGAGAGAGAGAGAGAGAGAGAAAGAGAGGGAGAGGGAGAGAGAAAGAGGGAGCGAGAGAGTGAGAGCGGCAGAGAGGGAGTGACGGGGATGGTGAGGGGGAGTTTGGAGCGCGTGAGAGCGAGGGGAGGGCGGGTAGCGTTGTTGGGGTACCGGGCGGGGTGGGGCGGGGCGGGGGAAAGGTAGCGTCGATGGCGCATTGTCGGGACGGGGACCGGACCGAGTCGCGCATTCACGAGCTCGCCATTATTCCCCTTTTGTGCGCGCGTTCCCGTGCCGGTGTCTGAAAGCCGGGCTTTTTGTGCAGGGCGATGCCGCGTGGAAAACGGTGACCCGGGAGAGCGAGAGCGCGGTTCGAATTTCTTCTCGGGCGTATTGTCGGGCGAGTGCGGCTCCGGCTTAACTTCAATTAGCATCGCACGCCGAGCTCGCTTTTTAATTCCCTTACGATGGATTTCTATTGCGCGCCCGCGTTTTTCCCGTCCTTTCGCTTTTCTTATACGCAACCGCATTACTTTACCCGGAAGAAGAGAAGGTGACGATGGGGGTTGGGGTGGGGGTAAACAATAATAATAACAACGACGACGACGACGACGACGACGACGACGACGACGACGACGACGACGACGACGACGACGACGACGACGACGACGACGACGACGACGACGACGACGACGACGACGACGACGACGACGACGACGACGACGACGACGACGACGACGACGACGACGACGACGACGACGACGACGACGACGACGACGACGACGACGACGACGACGACGACGACGACGACGACGACGACGACGACGACGACGACGACGACGACGACGACGACGACGACGACGACGACGACGACGACGACGACGACGACGACGACGACGACGACGACGACGACGACGACGACGACGACGACGACGACGACGACGACGACGACGACGACGACGACGACGACGACGACGACGACGACGACGACGACGACGACGACGACGACGACGACGACGACGACGACGACGACGACGACGACGACGACGACGACGACGACGACGACGACGACGACGACGACGACGACGACGACGACGACGACGACGACGACGACGACGACGACGACGACGACGACGACGACGACGACGACGACGACGACGACGACGACGACGACGACGACGACGACGACGACGACGACGACGACGACGACGACGACGACGACGACGACGACGACGACGACGACGACGACGACGACGACGACGACGACGACGACGACGACGACGACGACGACGACGACGACGACGACGACGACGACGACGACGACGACGACGACGACGACGACGACGACGACGACGACAATAATAATAATAATAATAATAATAATAATAACAATAACAATAACAATAATAATAGGCGCAATAAACGCGTGCGCTAGCTTCGACGGATTTCGAGCGCCCATTGTTCGGTCGTTGTCGAACCTTCCGGGGCGGGAATTTGTCAGCGCTGGATTTTGCGTCAAACGGTTCGATGTTTCGTTCCCCCTCGTTGCCCACCCTCCTCGCCGTACCGCCAAGGGCCCACGGCCAGCTCACTATACGGTTCGGCGCCGCACCTTCACAGTTTCGCGTTTCGCATTGGGTGTTTATTAACCCGGAATAATCCGTGCGGATGCTCGAATTAGCGTCCACGAGGTTCTGCGCCGCCCAGGTAGTTTATCCCGTGGTCTCTTAATTCTCCTCCTCCTCCTCCTCCTCCTCCTCCTCCTTCACCACCATATCACCTTTTTTTCTATAATTTTTCTCTTTTTCGCATTCATTATTATCTTTATTTTTTACGGGCGGAAACAAAGGGACGCCCGCGCAGATTTGCCTCGTGCAACTTTTCTTGCACCAAATGTATTATGAATTGATACGCCAACGATACCATTGACTATTAAAGAAAACTTCTATTTTTGTAAATAGTTGATTCGGCACCTCCGTCTCATTCCTCCAATCCCCACCTCCCTCCCGACACCGTCGCCCATCGACGTGCGCCAATGTCGACGCTGACGCCGACGCCGACGCCGAGTAATAGGCACATGTTGGATAGTTGCTTTTCACTCTCATGGAAAATTCAAAAATCCACAGCGTAAATATTACGGCGTGGTGATAAATGATAATCAATATTTAATATTTAATCGCTGGATGAGAATAATCCAAGGGGTATTAACGCGCAATTGATCCGCTCCCCGATCAAACGTGTTTCGTTTTCTCGATCTGTTCGATGAATATAGTCGGCATTAAATGTATATAATTTTATCGAGTGATTCATTATGGATTTACGAGTATTATTACAGTGCGCGCTTGTCCGAGGTAATGTTCGAGCGAAAATGGCTCGTTTATTGTTGCATAAGTCACGTATAAATAAGGCCGTCGGTAATTGAGACTCGGAACACTCCAGTCGCCGACGAGCTGATCGCTCCTTACCGCAAATTTTAATTGAGTGGCGGCGAGCGAGCGAGACGCTGGTCGCGTCTACGACTAGGTTCTGCGTGCATTCGCATGCGCGTGCCTATGTGCGTGCGTGCGTGCGTGCGTGTGTGCGTGTGTTTGCGTGTGTGTTTGTCGGGGTGGGACGTTGTAAGTGGTCGGTGCGGCGGGGCTGGGCGGGGGTAACGGGAGCACGACCTTAGGGCCGGGGCTCGAAGCAGTCCCGGGAAAACTCGCTCTGCTTGGGAGTAGATGCGGCTCGTGACCGACCAACTACATGTACCTGAATTATTCTGTTCCAGTGAAACCAAGGAAGCCGCAACTGGAGTACGCTGGAGCGGTGCTGACCACGAGCCTGACCCTACGCGAGGGACAGGAAGCGACGATATCCTGCGTGTCGAGATACGGCAACCCACCGGCCCTCATAAAATGGTGATTACGTTATTACGGCCCTTCTAACAAATCTCTCGAGGCTTCGTTTTCACCGAGTGCCTCGGGTCGGCAAGCAGGACCCCGACGACTTGGCCGCGAGCGCGCGAGCGCTCAGGAATGCAGTAGTCGCAATTTTTAACGCGCCTGGGATTCACCCAGAGCTCTTTACCTTTTAACGGTATGCGAGCGCGCGCGCTTCTTCCACACTCCCCTCCCCAACCCCATCCCACCACCACCAACAACAACCAAGCACTTTTATTACTTTATGACTTGATTTTTTATAACTGAACGCGCGTCATAATACATGCATGAAAGTGGAACGCACCCTAATAAAAATAGTTCATTTTACATAAAAATGGCACGACCTTCTAGAGTCTTGTTTCCTTCGTTTCTCTACATTATAAATCTCTCTATATGTTTTGCGTCCGTGGAAATATTAAACTTACCGGCGATAAAAAATTTTATCGTCGAATTACCACTTTTATTTGACTAATAATAGTTGCCGCGGAGCGGAGATTTGTTGCGTTAGAAAAATAGATCCGTCTACGCCTTAATAATAGCAACTGTTCCTCGTGGCGGTTCACATGAAAGTTGCGTCATTGTTTGCCGGCAAAGCGCAAGAATCCAGCGAGAGGCGATACAACAATGACGGGAATGTGTTTTCGTTTTTAAATGAGCGAGCGCACGCGCGTTCGTAATCGATAGCAAGTAAGTCTCGCGCTACTCATTTTATGCGAAACGTCATAGCAGACGCGATTCGTTATGCTCAATAAACACAAATTTGTATCATGTACGCAGCCAAACGCATAGGAGCCCTTGCGGTTGTCGAGCATCGGCACGTAAGGCGGAGCTCCGTAAACCCGGAGCTCCGAATACTAATGAGCGCAAATCTCAACATCTGAGCAAAGCGATCCAGTCGTAATAAACTATGTACATAACCCCTGGATGCAGCGCCAAAGCATTCGCTCAAACATACGACCGACTATGCCCCCTCCGCCGCCGTAAAACCGACGACGCCATTGGTACTCGGGACAAACGTGCGTTTCGCCATGGTTCACGTCCGATTTATCGTTCCCCGTTCAATTTGATCGCGGGACCAAAGAAAGACAGACGCTACGCCCGCGTCCACTTCCGCCGCCGTCCCAATGTCACGACCTTAATAATGCGTGACGCAGCGCTAAGCGTACGCGTTGGATTTTGCGCGGGACTTTGCGAAAACATTACCATTTTCCCGCGCCATTCGCGCGATTCCCGTAAAGTCCGCACGCGGAGATTCCGAGGGTGATAAGCTGCCCGGGAGAGTCCCTCGCTACCGCACCCATGACGCGCCATCCTCGAGAATTTACGCTTTGCGCAACCAACTGCCGGCCTTCGGTTGCCGGTCAATTAAAATCGTCGGCACTCCGCGCAGGTCGAGGACATCCTTAGATGAGTCCCGTGGGCCGCGCGAGTCGCTCGCGAGAAGTCGGGCATGGCCGAGGGAGGCGTAGGAGCGGGACGGACCTCGACGGCCGATCGATTGATTTCGCTCTTCCTTTCCATTCCATCCATCCATTCATCCATTCATCCATCCATCAATCTCCGTGGCCGGAGATGAAGATAACAAAAAGCTCGCGGATCGTAGTAAAGGAGAGCCTCTGGAAATATCGTCGCGGATCATTTATATCCCAGTGTGGAGCTCCACCCGCATCATCGATCACGCGCTCGAGAAACAAAGCCGAGCGAGCGCCAGGGGAAGGTTCTCTAGGTGGAGCCTCCCCCCGTAATTAAGCCGACACAGTTTTCGCCAAAAGCCGGGCCCGTTCACGTGCCGTTACCGCCTTCGCTCCCGCCCCACCCGGCCATGCCACGACAGCGGCGCTCCCCTCGCGACTTGGGCGATCGACGCGCTTCGGATGAAAATAATGACCCCCGAGGGGCACGAGCTCGGTCATTTGGCCGCCGGTCCGCCTGGCCACACGTACACCCAGGGTGGGGCGCGATTATGGAGTCGTTCCGCGGTGCGCCTCCCGTACCCCGCAGCACACGGATCCTGAGCGAACGAGGAACGCAAGAGGCCGGAACGTCGCCTTTGTGGCAGCACAGCCGAGTCCGACTCTCGCCGAGAAAAAGGACCGCGAACCTCGTTTCCTCTCCCTCGCTCGCGCTTCTACTCCCGCTTCCGTAGCCGTTCCCGTTCTTATTGTTGTTGTTGTTTTTGTTTTTATCATTGTTGTTGTTGATATCGTCGTCGTCGTCGTCGTCGTCGTCGTCGTCGTCGTTGTTGTTGTTGTTGTTGATGTTGTTGTTGTTGTTTTTAGTATTGTCGTCGCCGTCGTCGTTGCTGCTGCCAATGCTGCTGATACTATTGCTACGGCTACTGCTATAACTATTGCTCGTGCAACTTTCCTTTGCACTCGTGAGTGAGCGCGTGCACGAGACAGAGAGAAAGAGAATGCTCGAGGATGAATGCCGTGTGTATATCCACTCTCTTCCTCTCCTCTTCACTCCGCTACTCTCCCTTTGGTTTCACGGTCTGGCGGTTCTGACCGCGCCTTATCTAAGCTTGCCTTAGAGTAATAATTGAAGGGGGCCGGGGGGGGGGGGAGTCACGGCTTTAACGACTACGTCGTCGGGGCCGAGGGACTCTTTGATTCAAGTCAATGTATCGAATGAATTAAAAGTTGCCCTCTTGTCATTATGCTGGATAATTTCTTTTCTCCTCCCACTTTGCTCGCTCACCGGTCCTGCCCCTCCCCGCCTTCAACCTCACACACTCGCCAATCCTTCCCATGTAGGATTCCTCTTCTTCAGTCACTAGCTCTTCTCATTCTTATCTCGAACGGATCATTTCTCTCTCTCGCTCTCTCTCCTCCCTCGCTCTCTCTCTCTCTCCTCTCTCTCTCCTCCCTCTCTCTCTCTCTCTCTCTCTCTCTCTCTCTCTCTCTCCATCACTCCATCTCTCTCTATCTGTTCTATACGTAAGAGGACGTGTGTGCGAGAACGGCGGCGCTCTCTTTTTTGTCTTCGTAAATGCTCGGCCTCTCTTCGATTCGTTCCGCGAGCACGACGACGCGATGAATGCCTTTTGTTACGCTGTCAAAGGACGCGGGACGAGGGCGGCCGGTGACGACCGAAAAAAGGAAGGAAAATTTGTCATTTTTCGTGGCGACGTGTCGACTGTGAAATTCCGACGCTCGGCCTTTCGGGGGATTACCGCTCGTGAGTGAAATTCGTGAGTGAAACCTTTGCGTTGACGAGCCGCGGCCATTAGTCACGTGTTACGTACGGGCGGACTTTTGTAAATGGGAGGACCGTAGCCCGGGTAATTATCATAAGTGACACTTTTTCAAATTGGAATTGTTAACAGTTCGAGGGGAATAGGTTGCGCGGATGCGGCAATACGAGAGAGGCAGCACCGACGACTCGAATATTTACATTAATCGCTCGGACGCGTCCGAGACCAGGAACGGGACGAGGAGGATCCGCCGATAGGACGCCGTAATTCAAATTGATTCGATGTAGCCACGGCGGAGCCTCGTTTCCTCGCATTGCTCAATTGCTGCTAGGCGGCGCATCGCCGCTAATTCGCGTGGGCGTGCGGTCCCGATGAATATCAGCCGCTGCGCCTCGCAATTACGAATTAATTAAAAGAGAAATAACGTAAAGAGACGCTTCGCTCGAGGTAACGAAGGGATGCCCTCCCGGCATTCAAAGTAAATGAATGCAATCCCTCTACCCCCTCACCCAACCACCCATCCACCCAACCACCCACCCTCCGGCAGCCCCCATCCCGACTGTCACAGACCGATTTCCATCTCCTTGCGATGTCCACAATGGATGGCATTCATTTTCCGCTTTCATCCGGATGCAGTGACATAGGTTGAGGCACTCGCGACGCCTCGCCGTCGCATTACGAGGACTCGACGAGCATTTCGGTTCGCGACCGGGGATTCGCATTTAGTTCCGGCAGCGAACTCTGCCAACTATACATCCACCGGCAGACGCTCGCCTTCTCCTCTTCCACCCACCCCCATCCCTGCCTATACATCTTTGCACGGAGCGTAATTGGTCGCGCGACTCCACCTTCTTCGTTTCTCTCTCTCTCTCCCTCTCTCTCTCTCCGTCTACCCGTCCTCCCCCATCCATGTATTTAGTCGAGGCAACCCTATGCGAACTTCCTGAAAGCGTTCGTACAATTTCGCTCTTTATGCTTTCGTAATCTTCTCACTTTCTTGCCCTGCACTTCCGCGTCCTCTTCTCAGCCCTCGATTCCCGTTACGCTCTCTCTCTCTCTCTCTCTCTCTCTCTCTCTCTCTCCTGCCCTCAAAACCACCCATTTTAGCGCCTCCTCCATACCTCGCGCTCGACCATTTTCTTTGTTTTTCCAAATCAATGTGCGCCTCTCCGCGGCCTTTTTTTTCTTTTCTTTTTCGCTTTATCTCTCTCCGACCCCCGCCCCGCCCATCCACCCACCCACCCACCCGTGTATCCACTCGTTCTCTCACTCTACCGACGGACTTGCACGCGCACCGACTGCGGAAACGAGCGCCAAATCGTTGCGCCAACTGCGGTACACAAAACAACGACTTTGCACGCGATTCTGTTGTAAACGCCGCCCGGGAATTTTATGACTTTTGTGGCCGTAAATTCCTGTTCATGCGTTTTTACAACTCTCGACACCCTTCCCCCCGCCCCGTCCCCCTGCCGCGATGCCTTCGTTCGCCCCCTCCTTCTCCTCTACCGATCCACCTCCCCGCCAAATCCCAATCCCTTGACGCCTTTTCTGTCCCCCATCACCCACACCCGGCGCTGCCGCCGTTGCCACCACCGTCAACCCCACCATTTCACGAATTCGATTCAACAGAACCGCCAGCAAAGCCAGCGCCAATATCCTCCTTGCTTTCCTACCATTTAACTTTCCAATTTTACGTGAAAAATAAAGGAAAACGCCCGAGTTTCTCTCGAAGACCGTATTGACCCCGATAAGAGAGTTTCGGAGTCTTGGGCGCCGCTTCTTGCCCCTCCATGCGAATGTCCGAATGCTCCAAACGAATGTCATCCGACGTGTATTCATTATCGTACGCGTTTCCTACTGCTGAGCTCCATCATTTTTCCAAATTGACTCGGCCATCGAAACTTTCATCGCTCCCCAATCCAAAGATTATGGCAAACTTATTCCGATGCTAAGTCATGCCGTGTCGTCGATGCTCGTAAAAGCAAATCGTGTCATCCAAGCTACCATCCAGCCATCCCTATGACTAAACTTTTTCATTTCCTCTACTTCCTCTAACTCCATCCCTACGTCCACCCGCCCCGCCGCCCCTCTCCCCTATCCGCCGCCAATTCGTCCGTCCCGTTCGTTGGCCAATTTCTGAGCGCCTTCTTATTATTATCGCGCAATTACATTTATGCTGTCCCACTCAGGTTCATCGGCACCGACGAAATCCAGCCCATGCGAGAGCAGAGCAACGCCACGGAAGTCGACAATCCAAAAACTTGGGCGGCCCACAGCCTCTTACGCGTCCGTGGCAGTCGAGATAATCACAATAAGCCGATAAGATGCCTGAGCATGCATCCAACGAGTGCTCTACCCGATGTCACGGAATCACAATTTGATATTCATTGTAAGTAGCGTTAAACTCTCTCTCTCTCTCTCTCTCTCTCTCTCTCTTGTAAAAGTCCTGATATAGCTGTTGCTCCTCCAATCGAATTGCACAGGCGACGGGCGTATATCGAGCCGCGGTTGCTGCACGCTCTTAACAACAATGCTGAGAAAATTAAATATTAAGTCTCTTTGGAATTTTGTCTATTTAAGCCCGTCGGTTCGATTATTATATCGATGTATCGATAATTACAGGATGCCTGACAGGCAAAATTGTCGAGGAAATGTCAGCTCGCTACGCAAACCCGCGAATGTTACTTTTATGAAAAATGTCTGTTCGATTCGATGAATGTTACATTCATTCGATTAAAGTGCTCCTCCAGTCCCGGGATTATATTTTTTTTTCATCAAATTTTGTGTTAATATATAAGCTTGTCTTGAAGAAGAAAAATGAAAAAAAAGATGTAAATCTCGATATTAAAGTAGATCGAGTCGTTTGTGTTTAACGATCGTTAGCGAGTATCAAACGTGGTATGATCATGTCATCCTTGGAATGTCGATAAATAAAGGTCCCTTTGGCTGAAATAAATATGCGAATATTATTGGATCGATCGACGTCATTGCTAAACTCGGGGTCCCCGACATTCCCTATCACCGCCTCTCGTCTCCTCAGCCTTAGAGCATCCAGCCGCTTCGCGTACCAACTCGCACAAAATCAAGTTTAAATCCGATCGATCGTCAATAACAGCTTTATTTACATAATCCAAGTGCATTCCATAGACAAAGATGACAAAGCTAATGGGCGACGATTGGCTCGGTCACTGCCCAAAGGGCTATTCTCCCTCGCACACAAGCTAGCTAGCTAGCTCCTCTATTATCTATTATGCGCTCAATCGACCATACGGACGATCGATATGTAATAACTGCACCGAGAGACATGGTAATTGACCTTAATTATTTTACTTTGCCAAAGTAACAAAACGCATGCGTATAGCGCATAGCTCGCGAGTTTTCGTGCGCCCGGTCATTCGCTACGGAATTTCAAGCCGGCGTTCGTAACTTGTTTCAACAGCATGAGAACGTGATTACTGTGGGAAATGTATCTTTAATTTAATATCGCCGAATATTGTGTCTAGTGCAGATCGAATTGTATTTCGCAGCGACAGAATCTCGATAACGACGTTAGCTACGAACTATAGCTGGAGCACGTGCGACGAGGCCAGACAGACGCCCGGATGATACAAACATAGGACTTTCATGTTTAGTTAACGACGACGTAAGCCTATGCGAACCGGAGATAAATTCATTATCATTCGTCGAGTCAATTCCACGGAAATATTTTAAGTATCAATCGTTAATTTAATCGAGCGCGCGCGCGCGCGCACTTCGCGCAACGGCGACTCCTACGTTCTTTCAACGGCGGTGCTCTAAGTTCATTTGTACGGGCCCCCTTCCTTGCCCCGGCAGACGTTATTCAATTAGAGAACTTGGTTAAATTTTAGCGGGGGCGGGAGGGGTGACGACGGGAGGGATTCTAGTGACGCGAGCCCTGAATTTCAATAAAGTCGCACGAGCGAATTACAAACGCAAAATAATGAAAGTCGACGCTAGGCTCGATCCCTCTAACAGCACCGCCTTTAAAGGATCATTTAAAGGCCCATGCGACATCGTAGAAAAACATTAATTTTCACAAATTATTTTCTTCTTTTTCCCCGTTGTTTTTATTTTTATCTATTCATCTCCCTTCTTTTTCATCGTTTGAAAAATCTTACGCACTATATTTCATTCTCGTTTTTTGTCTATCATTTTTATTATTTTACCTCTCATTTACATCCTTAATTGCGTGATGTAGTTTTGTAAAGAGAAATGGACGATGGTGGGGGGGGGGCGGAGGCCGGGGGTCAGATTTTAATTGATAAAATTGAAAATTCGAATAAATATAAGTGATGAGAGTTGTATTTTTATTATACGCGTAAAACGCGTGGAATGAAGTATTAGAGACAACTATTGGGTAAAATGATTCTAAATGAGTCGGACCTCTCAAATTTCCACGTATCCATAGTTCCATTAATTTACATCGTAGATATAATTATAATTGATTATTGAAAAGCAAGAGCAAATAATAAGAAGAGCAATACAAGTGTATTCATAGAATGCCACTACAAACGTCACAAATTTATGCAATTGTTACAAATTATAAAAAATACATCTTGCAACAGATGAGTGAATAATAGCTAAAATAGCGCACATCTTGACTAATCAATTATTCACAAATACTGCAGATGAAAAATGTTATAAAAAAAAATTAAAAATTACTTTAATTGTTATAGCACAATATTTCAGGCTATATTTTGAAAAATTCATTTGTTCAATACAATATAAGAAATATATTATTTATTATACCTGGGTGAATAAAAATAAAAATCGTTGGTTTTTGTAATATTCAGTATTTTATCAACTTACCGCTGTTTGTTTTTTTTTTTTTTTTAAGTGAACAAGTGAAATAAGTATGTCCTATCTATCGATAGTTTTAAAGGAATTTTATTTTATTTAAAAAATTAGGTGTACCATTAAATTCGACATATTTTGCCTGTCTTTGCTTATGCGAATGAAATTTTATTGAATCTTATAAGACGTACATGATATATTCATGTAATAATACGTCACGTATTAATCTACATTAAAGGGGAATACATGTAAAAATGTGCATAAATTTTATCGAGTCTTTCTCTCGCGCGCGCCCGCGCGTGCGGGTCAAACAATTATACGAAAACTATCTAAACCTCTCAACAATCCTGTGAATATAATTGCTCCTATTCTCTATAAAATATCTTCAATTAAAATGTTAATTATTTTCAATAACTTCGGATGTTTTAGTCCTCCATTCTTTGCTGCTCGTTTTCCTATTCATTTGCTTTCTAAAGACTTCGTTCCTACAAACTTTGTGCGCATAGAATTTCGATTTCGTCTACGCATCTGTAACTTACATTTCATGCAAAAGATTTTAAGAAAGCATCGATCATTCGTATAACTTAAATATCTATTACGGAAGCGAGTTTTTAAGCGGCTATAACATTAACATTGGCCTTGGCACAATAACTCCGCATTGGAAATTATTACCCGACTATACGATAAACATCATAATAATAATTTTGGGCTCGAGAGTATCTGCTATTTTTCATTCCCATCGGCGCTTCCGAGCAGTACGATATATTACGACGCCCCTTGGCATACAGCGAGCAATCTGCTTTTTGCCCACGAAGATGATTAATCGCGACTGAAAATATTGCCGACTCCAGGAGCAGTCCTCTTTTCAGCGAGGATCGCTGAATACGACATGGCAAGTCGCACAATATGCCGGATGCAAATTGGCCGAGCGCAAAAGGAAAAGTCAATATTGCGAAACGAAGCGCTCGACACGTCGGAGGAGTCGGCAATAGTTTTCAATCGCCCCTATTCGGCTACGAGCTCGCGCTCTCGGCCCGTCAATTAACGTCACCTTAACGTCCCGCAGATTCACCCGAGGTTAAGCTAGAGACGAGCCCCCGGATGCTGGTCTCGGCCCTCGAGGACTCGTCGAGCTTCATCAGCCTGCGCTGCATCTCGGACTCCAACCCGACGTCGAGCATCAAGTGGTTCAAGGACAACGCCCCGATAATGGTCTCGAACGGCAACGTCCTGCCACTTGGCTATAACCGCACCCTCGCCAACGGCACCCTCGTCGAGTCCGAGGTGCGCTTCGAGCCGATAAAGCGCGAGGACGCCGGCCTTTACAGCTGCAGGGCCGTCAACGTCATCGGCGAGAGCGCCCCCGCCAACTACCGCCTCGACGTCCAATGTGAGTTGGCCTCTTTCTTTTCCTAAACGCCCACCCACGTTCAAATCCGAGGGAACCCTAGCCCGACTCACTCCCTCCACCTCAACCTTCCAATCGTAACCCGCCCCACCCTCGCCAATTCCCCTTAAATAATGCTAAATAGAGCCATTGTGCCCCGGACACTGGCAGGAGACTCGTCGATTCACGGCCCCGTGGCTATCTCGGCGACCTTACTCTTTTCGCGGACGGCCAGTAGACGGATATTGACTTGGCATCCGTCGACCGAGAACTCGCATCACGTCCATTCCAGCTCATTCGGAGCATTTATCTATCGAGGAAGGAGAGCGAACGAGGCGCGCCATTTCTCTCGTCTTCGCATCTTCTCTGGTTTTTTTTTTCTTTTTTTTTTTTGTTTTCTTTTTTGTTTTTTTTTTTTGTTTTTTTTTTTACATTAAAGTTATTTGGGCGATTATCGTGAGTGATTGTCGATTGGATGGCTCGGCCGGCCGATTAATACGTTCATTGGGAATTAATTAGAACGGTCAGCAGCTTTTCGCGCACTCCGTGATCAATACTAGCTCGCCTCGTCGGGCCTCCGCCCCTCCCACAACTCGCCGCACCGTGTCACCTTCTGCGGTCGAAATGACATTTTCAAGCTTAACAACGGAAAGCGTCGCCGAAAGGTACGCGCCGTGCCAATTTAATGTTGAAAATTTCCACGAAACTCGAGCAATAAAGTAACGATAGGAGGGTGGGGTGGGGTGGAGAGAGAGACTAAAGATTTGGGAAATTCCTTTGGGATTTGGCAATCGATAAATTAGGAGTTTCGATTGAAGATGATGACGAGTGAGTTACCCGGCGTCGAGAGAATTTAACCAACGAGCTTTTGTCCCGTTTCACTTTTTATTGGCGCACCGTGAGGGGCCGAAAGTGCAAAACTCGGGTCCATGGGACCGCTGACAGATAAATAACCCGTTTCGCCTAACGAGACGACTCGACTGAGGGTCAAGTTTTTATGGGATAAAGTGAAAGATCACGTGGGCAAAAAATGACGCCGCATTTTCTTCGGCGTCTAAGACACGAAAGGGGGAGAGGATTGGATGGACGAGGGCATATCTCGACCGGATGCGTTATTACAAGTCTCTTATTACGATATCAAAGGATTCTTTATAAGAGTACTTAAAACTCCTCGTGCTTCCGATAAAAATTGAGGATGTTCAGAAAATGCTTGTTCGTTCATGGTACATGCAATACAACAAGGGTGGTATTTAAATGTTTTAGGAACCTATCCGGCTATTATGCTCTTGTAATGTGCTTGCAATTTTTACTTACCAATTGCCAGTATATTTTTATTACGTTAAATAATTGTTGACTTATCTAGCGAACAAAGGTTGTTTAAGCGAGGCTATATAAAGCAAATTACTTCTCATTCAATTTAATCTCTTTTAATGTTATCATAAATTTCAATTTAGCAATATATTATCACCACATAGATAGTACTGATATTTCTAGTGACTCCTCGATACAGAGGACTAATGTTTTATTTTATTTTTTTGTTTTTATATGTGCTTATACGCGCGCCCGCGCGCACACACGCGCACACATATGTATATGCATGAACGGAAAATAAAAAACCAAAACAACGAATGGACAAACGAACAAATAAACAAACAATGATATTTAATTTTTCCATAAAACAATAACTCTTTTATCTTTCAATAACTCATTTTATTCTTATCGATCAAAAACTTAATTTGTATTTTTGATCATTGAAAAGTTTTGCATTAAAACGTACGCTTTTGAAATCTTTACATTATTTATAGAGATTGTATACAATCCAGAGAGAGAGAGAGAGATATATATATATATATATATATATATATATATATATATATATATATATATTACTCTCTAACAAATTCCCTCTCAACTATAGCAATTCACTTTTATATTGAAACAAGCTAATATAACCACACATGTGTCCTTCACAAAACCAATTAGTCGAACACGATTTATTCTATGCTAAATATAATAATCGAAATAATTAATTATGCTATTGGATTGTTTTACAATAAAAAATAGCAAGTTGTTATGTCAGCATAAGACAATATTTTCACTGTTATTGCCAAAGCCCAAACTACAGTAATTCGGTATCAATTATAGCGATTGTCGCATTATTAGTGTAAAATCCATGCTTTTTATAAAAAAATTGCGATTGAATTTTCAAATGGGCAGATTATAGCAAGATTAATTCCTTTTGCGCTAATGGACTTTCCGCTAAATTTCTTTTATATCTTCATTCATGACGGATATACGGAGGTTGAGGAAATTCTAGCCGACGTTTATTTATTCGCTAGAAGGAAGCCAAGAATTATCAATCTAATTTTATAATCGATTGATTAATCGGCCACAGCATGAATATTTAATATTAGATGTTTTTCGCGTGAATATTGCATTTTCATTAGAGTCTAGAAATCTAGGAAAACATAGGCTACTAAATGGGATCATCTAATTTCAACTGGAGGATCAACTATTTATGACGCAGATTGCGTCTACAGGATGGTGCTGTGACCTTTTATAAATATTGAACATAAACCGTGGATACGATGCTTTTGTCAACATTCGCACGAATTATCTAAGATGCAAAACTAATATTACCAAACGCTCTTGGCTAACTTTGATAAGTCAGCCTTTTAATCTTACTTTTAATCAGTCGATAATGCTTTTATATATCATTTCACACGACGCGTTTGGCAATAACTCATTATAATTCATTTTTTATGGAATTTCTCCGCTTTCTCGCGTCACTCTTTTCACGGGGGCTCAGCCACATACTACAACTTCATACTAATTTGGTCTATTGTGAAGCATTGTCTACGACACCGACACCACTCACGTCGTTCATGAAAAATATTTTAAAATATGTTTATCCTTCCATTACATTTACGATGGGCATCTTTTATGATTTACATGTTTCAATCGCTAAACAGAATCGTGAAATGGAATATGTTGAATTTGTTATTACACCTTCAATGTTCTCATTAACGCTTTGATTAAAGCGGATATAAAAGCTATTCGAGCATTATAAGTGGCGTAAAAATTAATAAATGTATATGGGACATTATCAATTGAAAAATTAAAATCATCGATTAATTAAATGGCTTAAAGCCTTACTGGCTCGACCGAGTGAAATGATTTTTCAGTACACGTACGCGATAATTTAAGTTAATGCAAAATGTAGTAATACAAATAACGCTCGATGCTTTCGTAGGGCTTATCTTGTTTTTAAACATTATTATTATTGTTGTTGTTTGTTGTTGTTTGTTGTTGACGTTGTTGTCGTTGTCGTCGTTGTTGCTGCTATCATTGTATAAATCATCATCACTATTATCATTATTCATTTTTAATATCATATTTCGGTATCTGTCATTTAATTATCAAAATCGTAAAGCTAATGAAACCACCGTAATATTAACATGTAATTATAATTAACTTATAACGAATACCAGTAAAACATGCCGAGGCTAAACACGCGATAAAAAAATTAAAAACTCTAAATGTAGATGCACGTACGCTTTATGCGATGGTAAATCATGTGTTACAATTTTAACGATCATTTCAATAAAATTGTTTCTATTGCGTGATTTTAAATAGTAAGATAAGCAAAATATTTCCATACCTTACGAAAATTTCAATCTTCCCCTTACTTCAACAAATTGAACAATTATCTTTCCTTATATTTCAGCCGAATACTCTGCAAATTCAAAACTAAATTCCTCATCCTCTTTATTTATTTATTTATTTTACATACACGTGGTTTACATTGTTTTCTTATCACGAGGAAATGCTTGATAATTATTATAATTATAGTTTTTAAAATAATGTAACCTTGCGTGGCTAGAAGCTTCGTCGTAACGTCCTCTATAATCAGCCTTTGTGAGCGTCAACGCCACACTAAAAGCTTCAAAGTTTTCAGCACTTCTAACTTAAAATGCAAGTTCCTAATGGAGTCTTATATCTTAAAATTTTGAAGAAGAAAAAAACAGTAATTTTTCATAATTCATTTCTTTCAAAAGACATGTAATGGAGCATAAAAGCCCGAGTGATGGGGGAACGAGGTTAGGCATCAAACTTGTAAATTCGGTCAAATTATTCTTTCTCACTTGGACATTATTATCCATAGACGTTGACATTGTCGTTAATATTACGGCTATTCTTGCTATTATTATTAAATAATTCTATTATTCGTAGCGACTCGACAAAGACTTATCGATGCTCGGGGGACGATCATCGTCACACCATCGAGAACATCCTTCGATAAAAAATGACAAGCGTATCGTATTGAATTTCGGATGCATCGGAAATTGCGGATTATCGAGTACTTTCGGCCTTTATAACGCGAAGTCGCGTATGCAGCCAATTCCGCAGCGTCGATGGCTCGTTGAGAAAAGTAAAGTCGTAAAAAAAAAAAAAAATTAAAAAAAAAAAACCCAAAAAGAAAACCAAAAAAAAACCAAATAAAAAACCAAATAAAAAAACCAAAAAAAAACAAAAAAAAAAAAACGATTTAACAAACAAAAAATAAAAAGAAGGAGAAAAAAATTTACATGGCGCATCCGACGGATCTGTCGGCGTACGCTCCTCGGCGACTTTAATCTATTTCGGCTTTATGAAGCAGCTCGCGTAGTAAAAACGTTTTTTCTTTCCTTCTCCAACTTTTTGTCTGCCTCTTTAGACGGTTGTGCTCTAATTACCGAAAGGCTAGCTTTGTCGAGTCTCCGAGCGTGCTCCATCACTTTCCCATCCAAGCCACACGTGACGTTTCACCAGGCTGGGTCTTAAGTTCGAAAGAAGGGCCCGGCTCACCTCTTGTTCCCCGATATCCATGCAGAGCACGACTCGCGACATTGGCCCGAGGACGTAGGTGGCCCAGATACGGCGGCTTCCGCGAGTTGCGAGTCCGTCGAGCTCCGTCAGCTTTCGTTACGGAGAATGAAAATGTACGCTACGGCGAGTCCGAACTCGCGAAAACAGTTATCACATAACGGCTTTCGAAATTAGAGCTCGCCTCGTCTATTCTAATGGGCCAGCCCCGGCCCTGGCTCTTGGTCGGCCGGAGCGTTGATGGGAGGGGCGGGCGGGGGAGCGTAAGATGGACGGCCGAATGATACGTGGATGGCAGGGTGATGGCGGGCGGATGGGGGTATGGGGGTGGGGTGGGGGGGGGGGGGGGGGGGGGGGGGGGGGGGGGGGGGGGGGGGGGGGGGGGGGAGAGGACCAGGGGCTTGAGGAGACTGGACGAGCGCTAATGATTGCTAACGATGCGTAGACGGGCCAAAGCCGAGATCGTTGGGCGAGGGCTCGAAGGGTAAGGAGACGAGCCTCGACGTGGTCGAGGAGACGAGCTCCCTCGGCTCCAACATCGAGCCCTTTGAGTGTCCGGACTTCGAAGCCAATCCCCCAGCGCAGTTCCGTTGGCTCCATCAACGTGGTGGCAGTACCGACACCATCGTGGATAACCGGGTAGGCGACCAGCAGCAGCAGCATCAACAGCCGCACTCGGGGCGTCGGCTTCGTCTGGAGAACGTTGGCTGGGCTGACGAGGGGGAGTACCGCTGCGTTGCCTACAACGTGATAAACGGTGTGCGCAGGGAGATGCCGAGCGACCTGCGTTTCGTCCTCCACGTGATCGGACCCCCGGAGATCCAGGCAAGGCCCTCGGCCGAAACAGAGGACGGCATGTACGAATCGATCGGTTGGGCCGGCGAACCCGTCCACAGGCTGAAGTCGCGCTTCTGCTCGAGGCCACCGCCGAGAATCGTCGCTTGGCAGTGGGGCAGCTCGCACATCCGTGCAGGTGAGTTTTAGGATCCCGTGGTCGACGATGCCGTCTGGTCAGAGTGGCGGCTTTGGAACGGCCTAACGCCAACCATGCCGTGACTCTGCCAAAAAAACTCTCTGTCTCTCACTCACTCACTCACATGTCGAACAAGCGACGACTGCGTGCCAGATTAATCTCCCCTTATCGCCGACTCATTTTCCGTCCGATGCTCAATATTCTAATTCGTTAGTCGCACATGCCATTGCAGCAGCTCGCGATTGAGACGTTCCGCTGGCCCGAGTACTTTCTCATTTTTCTCTCTCCTCCGTACATTTTACTTTCCAAGGCAATATTGCGTTTAAGCAATTTCAGGGCAAATGTTGCGAGCCTAATGGCCAGTGATTCCGATCGCTGCTTTACGTACGTTACGTACGTAACGCGGCTCGCTTGGAAAAATTGAAAATACACTTTAAGCATCCGCCGTCGTACGCTCGCCCATATCGCGCGAGCAATATAATAAAAATATGCCGGGGCTAATTTCCTAATAGACCGTATTTATACGGCGGTCGATTAATTTCATATCGAGCGTGAGAGAAATAGATGAATGATTAAATAATACGTAGATTTAAGCGATTGCAAGGCGATTAAATAGCTTTAATATAAATAGAAAATACCATTCTCACACCTCAGACTTTAAACATAAGTTAAGAGGCCAGTTTTGTTTCTTTCATACGTGTGCGCTCGTGGGTGTGAATATTGCTTTTTTCCATATATTATTTTTTTTCCTTCTGTTTTTGTTTGTGTGCGCGCGCGCGCGTATGTGTGTTATTTTTTTTCTTTCCTTTCGTCTTTTATATACGTATAAGAAACTTATTTCGCCATTTCGTCTTTCTCACGCTTAATATAAAAGTACTCGTCGAAGGTTATATGTAATAAACAGCATAGAGTTATGATATTATAATACTGTTGACATAATAATGCCTGGATAATTGACCGTTCTATTTTGCATCGCGACTCCATAAATTCCGTATATTAACCTTATCGTTTGCTACTTCCTCTCTCTCTCTCTCTCTCTCTCTCTCTCTGTCTCTCTCTCTCTCTCTCTCTCTCTCTCTCTCTATATATATATATATATATATATATATATATATATATATCTGTCTGTCGATGCTCGATGCCTATCTCGATCTCGAGAAAGTTGCTCGATTCTCGGGCATGTCGAACAAGCGACGACTGCGTGCCAGATTAATCTCCCCTTATCGCCGACTCATTTTCCGTCCGATGCTCAATATTCTAATTCGTTAGTCGCACATGCCATTGCAGCAGCTCGCGATTGAGACGTTCCGCTGGCCCGAGTACTTTCTCATTTTTCTCTCTCCTCCGTACATTTTACTTTCCAAGGCAATATTGCGTTTAAGCAATTTCAGGGCAAATGTTGCGAGCCTAATGGCCAGTGATTCCGATCGCTGCTTTACGTACGTTACGTACGTAACGCGGCTCGCTTGGAAAAATTGAAAATACACTTTAAGCATCCGCCGTCGTACGCTCGCCCATATCGCGCGAGCAATATAATAAAAATATGCCGGGGCTAATTTCCTAATAGACCGTATTTATACGGCGGTCGATTAATTTCATATCGAGCGTGAGAGAAATAGATGAATGATTAAATAATACGTAGATTTAAGCGATTGCAAGGCGATTAAATAGCTTTAATATAAATAGAAAATACCATTCTCACACCTCAGACTTTAAACATAAGTTAAGAGGCCAGTTTTGTTTCTTTCATACGTGTGCGCTCGTGGGTGTGAATATTGCTTTTTTCCATATATTATTTTTTTTCCTTCTGTTTTTGTTTGTGTGCGCGCGCGCGCGTATGTGTGTTATTTTTTTTCTTTCCTTTCGTCTTTTATATACGTATAAGAAACTTATTTCGCCATTTCGTCTTTCTCACGCTTAATATAAAAGTACTCGTCGAAGGTTATATGTAATAAACAGCATAGAGTTATGATATTATAATACTGTTGACATAATAATGCCTGGATAATTGACCGTTCTATTTTGCATCGCGACTCCATAAATTCCGTATATTAACCTTATCGTTTGCTACTTCCTCTCTCTCTCTCTCTCTCTCTCTCTCTCTCTCTCTCTCTCTCTCTCTCTCTCTCTCTCTCTCCAATGCCAAGATTATTATATACGCGCTCACGATGATGTTTCATTAAAATAATTTCCAATTTATGTGGCTTTTATTATGTGCGATTAGATGAAAATTATAATGCTGAAATTGTGCAGGATTCGATATAGTTTAAATGACCATAATTAATGCCAATGTCTCGATAAATTAACGGACTTTCAACGCTAGCTGGACGAGCGAAATGAATTTTATTTGTTAATTTCATATAATAAATAGCGAGATTCCGTTCATTTGCACGACAGGTCGAGTAAAAAAATTTTTCACCATTTACCATTTGCTCGTTTCAAGCATTTATATCAACGTTAGTGTTTAGCCTCCAATGTACGAAATATAAGAATTTCTGGCAATGTCAAGAGTTTTAATGCGTCATAACATTAATGCGTGGAATTTCGTTCAGTCTTGTTCTATCGCAGATTAAGATCAATTTGACACTCAGGTGGATGATAGAGCGTTAAAAAATTATGCTAATCATTCCAGATGGTGAATGTGTCACGAGAGAATTTCTATAGGCTCCGAGTTATCTGTCCTATCGATGTATCTCTCTCTCTCTCTCTCTCTCTCTCTCTCTCTTCATCGTGTTTCACCTCGTCAATTTTGACGGCAAATGGCTCGATCTGTGCCTTTCATAAATTAAAAAATCAGCACTTATTAATTTTATATTTTTCATCGGTCGCAGATTTTATTTTATTTTTTTTTTTTTTTTTTTTTTTTTTATAAAGTTACAATGCCCCCCGTTATATTATTCGGAACTTAATGGGAAGCGGACAGCTCGGCCTTGTAACGCACGCCCGGATGTGTCGAGAGAAGAGAAATTAAAAATTTATTGCAAAAATAAATTCCTACTAAGCAATATTTCATTGGCTATTCGACACAATGATGCTCTTCAAGTCGCACTAAGAGACGCTTGAAATCATGAATCGTACACAATTACACAATTGAGTTTTTGCTAATGGACGCGCGATTGGCCTGTTTAATGTCAAACGTATTACCTTTTAATTAAAAAATCTTACGCAGACGCTTTTTTCATGCATTCATTTACAATTCCCGGGACTACAAATCCACTTAAACGTATTTAACGAGGCATTACGACTCCGCTCGTGTAAATGCTCATTAAAAAACTATTATCGGCCGCTAAAATACGCTGTTCGGCTAATGTTAATTTTCTGGATGAGTAAATAAGTCGCATCTGTCGAAATTACTTGTGACAGAATGTCTCGTTATCACAATGACGTGGCTGACAAACGCTTGGGCACGAAGCATCGTGTTGAACTACCTCAAAATCGTTCCACCCCAGCCGTCTCGAAGACCCGGGTTTTCAACTTTCTACCAACCACCTCCTCCTTTCTCCCCCGCATCCCTCAACGTACTCCCTCAAAGCTTACCGTCGCTCTAGAAGGAAAGAAAAAAACAAATTTTTTGAAAAAATAATCCACTCCGTTCGTCGACATTGCGAGCGAGTCTCATCGTTCCTTCACAGCCTACCGCATCGCCACACTAATAATAGCACACCGACGCCTTAACCATATTAATAATAATAATAATAATAATAACAACAACAATAATAATGATAACAACAACAATAATAATAATAATAATAACAACAATAATAATGATAACAACAATAACAACAACAATAATAATGATAACAACAATAACAATAATAATAATAATAATAATAATCATCATCATCATCGTCATAATGATCGACACAAAGAGTAAATAAAGTTAAAGAGAGGAAGACGGCGAGACGTGCATGAGACTTGGGAAAAAGAACGACGTGACTGTTCGCAGGTGAGAGCATCAGCCCCAAGTACGAAGCGCTGCCCTTGGAGCCGATTCTCGAAAACAAGATGGTGACCAACTGCTACTGGGCCAAACTCGAGATCCGGGAGCTGCAGCGCGAGGACGCGCGTCTCTATACTCTCGTGGTGGAGAGCGAGAAGGGTCGGGATTCGACGAATCTACGGCTAACGGTGCGCGACCCGACGGAACTGCGAATAATCGCGGCCGCGGGCGCGGTCGGCCTTCTCGTCCTCCTGCTTCTCTTCTCCGTCGGCCTCTACTCGCTGGTACGCTCGCGACGCAAGCACCGTGAATACCGTCACGAGGAGGAGGAGGGTAGCATATCCGCGGAGGCCTATTACGGGGCCGCGGCACCGACCCAGCAGAACGGGACGGGTACAGGCAGCGTCATCGCCGCCCCGACGACCATTGAGAGGAACGGACAGCTCAAGGCCGGCCTCGAACACCACCAGCACACGGTGAGCACACCTCCAACCATTTTACGTTGGCATGGCCGAGGATGGATGGCATCTCTTCCCTATCCGTCGCTATCGACCAACGCAAAAATCAATCGAACAACTATACCAATCGAGCCAAATATTGCCTTCTATTATTAACCAACTGTAGTTTAGAGCTTTATTCTTCTTTTTTTTTCTTCTTTTTTTTTTTTTTTTTTTTTTTTTTCTTCTTTTTATCATACTCTTCGATCGCTATTTAATGCATTCTGCGTTCGCATTCGAATTAAATATGCGGTAAAGCTTCGATTTTAAGCCATTTAAACTGCCATCTATTTTTAATATCTCTATCTCTCTATTCACCTCACCCCATCGCATCACTCCCTCCCTCCCAAACCCCCAGCCACCATCCACCACTTCCACCACCACCACCATCGCTACCTCACACTCACCGCGTTCTCACTGTTCATTCTCGTTAAACGTGACGAATTCATTTACGACGCAGCTAATTGAAGTAGCATAATGACTGCGAGATGAGCCATTGCATCGATATACCGAGCGTAACCAAACATTCGCTAATTATTCAATTTTCCGAGACAAATTTTCTTTTACGGCTCGGGGTCTCGAGCTCTCGAGCTCTTGTTCAAAATATCGTTCACTCGCTTAAGCAATGATGTGGCACGAGCATTGTGTCTATTAATAAACGGGCCGCTCGATAATATTTATTTATCAATACCGTAGGCGCTGATCTGATAATGGCCATAAGAAATTAAAATTAATACGTGGCCGTCATTCACTCGAGTTTACTTTCAAAGCAAATAAACTTTTCAATTGCACAACTCTTTTTACGACTTTGGCGCAAAAGCGATACGGATAGGTTGTGATATCGGGGAAACAGAGAAGAAAAAGATGAAAAAAAGCCTAGTTGGTATTAATAATCTCACTGTAATTATTTCGCGGGCGTATCCCCTCCCCTCGCCACCATAACCGACACCCGGTGCCCCACCTACTTTAGCCCCGAATTTAGCCTGCGAAAAGCATGCGCGGATTCCCAGCACGAAATAAACCTTTAGAGCGCGATAACGGTTTACCTGCGACCGTTAAAGTCTACGACTATAATTCTTCGTCCACAACAACAGCAGCAGCAGCAGCAGCAGCAGCAGCAGCAGCAGCAGCAGCAGCATCAGCAGCAACATCAGCAACAGCAACAGCAACAACAAAAGCACCACCAGCAACAGCAGCAGCAGCAACTTCAGCAACAGCAACAGCAGCTCCAGCAGCAACTCCAGCAGCAGTTCCAGCAAAATAGCCTAAAGAGCGCGATGTCGGGGATGGGAATGTACGGGAGGAAGCCGGTCCTCGACGCCGGCCTCGCTGTCATGTACGACTACGATCAGATTGCGTGCAAATCGAGGACGGCCATGAGCCCTGAAGCCCTCAAGGTCCGGCGCGCCCCCGCGGTCTTTCAGCCGCCAACGATCGTCTGATACCAGGAGGGCAGGTTCGCCGTGTTCTACGGGGCCGAGCAGCGGCCCACTAGTCCCCTTTGCTCCGCCACGTTGGAGCGCCCCGATTAGAGTCTACGATTCGTCTCTCTCACACTCTCTCACTCTCTCACACTCTCTCTGTCTCTCTCTCTCTCTCTCTCTCTCTCTCTCTCTGTCTTTCTCTATCTCTGTATCTCTCTATCTACCTAGCAGCTACCTATTTATCTATCTATCCATCTATTTACCTAACTCTGTGCCCGTGTACGTTTCGCGCGCGGGGCCCACATTAAAATGTGAGCCCGAGTTTCGTGTCAGAGCGAGCGCCGCTTTCCGTCTTTTCCGTCGTTACGTCGTCTCGCCGTTTTGTTTATCCCTTACTCGTAGTTCCCAAACAAAAGACTCGACCAACGGCAATAGCCCGAAGCGCGTGCGTGCGTGCATGCGTGCGTGCGTGCGTGCGTGCGTGCTTACGTCGATGCGCACTCATGGAATTGAGACATGTTGGTTTTCGAGAGAATTGAGAATGAGTGCCGCGCGAGGCTCGATTCCGTTTTACCGTCGTATATTATACTTGTACATAGCATTTATTATTTGCGTGCGGCCGGCTAATTATATTTGCGTTGGAGATGTAAGGCGCTATCGATTGTATTATTTTAACATGTCATTTTTCCCGCTTAAATCGCAATCGCAGGATATAATAAGAAAGTAGCCCAGATCCCGAACAATGGGCTCCCGCTTCATTCTCATACCAGTCGATTCACGTAGACGTTATTGAGTGTAATAAAAGCTCTATTATGGCACTCTGCCATACTAATTTAAAATAAAGAATGCTATAACTTTTTCGATTTTAGAGGTATCTAAAATATTCATAAACTTTGCAATGAAAAAGGACATTATTATATCGCGTATAATATCGAATGAGAATGAGAGATTCTTGGCGGTTAGGATGGCGAGGGATTGTGTGGGGAGGGGGATGGGTGTTTGGAGTGAAGCGAACGTAACCAAAAACCTTAACATGACAAAAGTTCGCTCGAGAAATTTCGGCTCTGATAACGAAATAAAGACGATTGTTGTCCAAGAATCTTTCTTACGGATGGCTCGGCGTGCGAGTATAGAATATATAAGCGCATCCTGTCCGGAAAAAGGTTCACGCGCAGTTTCTTTTTATGACTCCTTCCTTATCGAGATTCAAGACTCGTTTTAGAAAAACTCCTAGCGTAGAATAACACGAAAATCTTATACGTCTAAATTATCATTCTCGGAGCGCCTGGAGCAATAAAGATTCTATTTTAACTTTTTTTTATTTTCTAACATTCTTTAGATTTCGTTAATTGGGAATTCGACATGTTTTGTTCATCTGTGAAGAATTCATTTTTTTCTCTCTTCTTCTACTTTCAATCTTTTTTTTCTTTTTTTTTTTTTTTTTTTTATTATTTTTTTTCTACATTCAAAGTAAAATAGCTTAAATTTCACTAAGCAAACCGAATTTATTTTATCTCCCCCAGCATCTTCTCCCTACAACTGCGTTTCTATTATTTCGAGCAGTAAATTAAGATTTCAAATGCCAGCAAAGTTATGCATTCGACAAATTGATTACCCGTTTGTTCCTTTTATTATAATTATTTAATTCAATTTGACATTTAAAGATCTACGAGCCGAAGCGTCATAGACTTTTCTCACAAGTAAAGCCTAATTATATAGATAATATTGTGTTATTTATGAAATGTGTTTCAAATGTGCTTTATGTATACCTGAATTGTTGAATATTTATATACAATTTTAATGGAAAGAAATTTTATTTTACCAAAATCACTATATTAATTAATGTTTAAGCTTTAATTTAAATCTAATCAACAAACTCACCACGTTGTTAAGCCACGACTAAATAATTACGCGAATGAATAAAAATCCAACACAATTAAATAAACAAATATAGGATATAAATTACTGAACATTATTCAAGCTCATTGTAATGAATTTCCAATGAAATTTAACTTTTTTTTTTTTTTTTTTTTTTAATTTTTTTTTATGTTATTTTTATTTTATTTCTTAAGTAAAATGTGTAAGAAAAAAGAAAAACTTCCCAAAGAGATAGGTAATTTTAAATTAAGACAGTGTGTAATTGAGATTAAGACTTGTTGTAATAAAATTTATTCACATTACTTTGTTTATACGTCGTCTTTATTGAATAATAATGCGATAAATATTAAAAAATATACTTAAAATAATAAAAAAAACAAAAGAAATATGATTATTTTAGCTTTAAGTTTTAAGCGACAGATTAACGAATGTCACTTTTATGTAAGTACTTACAAACTATACGATCTACGAATAAATTATTGCAATAAATGCATAACCATGCAACGAGATTTACGTATTTATCGAATTTATTTATTCTAAGACATTGTTGTATTTTTGAGTGAAATCCAAAAATAAAACAATCTTAATCAGTGAATTGATTTGTGTATTTAAAAATTATGTTAAGTGTTATTAAACTTATATTTTACGCTGATTTTATATATATATATATATATATATATATATATATATATATTATATATATATATATATATATCATTTCTTATTGTATGATTAATTATTTTCATCTCCTTATTAATACAAGAAAATTTAATAAAGTAATTTTACCCTATCCACTTCCATTCAATAATTGTTTAGATATCAAAGAATATATTTAATAGCTAATGTACGTTTTATTGATTAAAGTAATGTTCAAGGTAACGAGTGATAATTGAAGGAATAATTTTTTAAAAAAAGAAAATGGTATTTTTTCTTTTCTTGTTTTTTCTTCTAAAGAATTTTTTCTTCTTTTGCTCCCGAGATGTATGAATTAATTCTACTTATCATTCGTTGCATTAAAAAATTAACAATCGAGTTTAACGAGGACTGACATTATGATGAATAGTATTTCTCATAGTTCTATGATTTATGAAAATTTTTTAATCTTTCTAACACTTCGAGAAATGGAAATTGCAATTATCCTCGAGTATTGTATTCGTCAAAATTAAGGAATTTATGTTGTTAAGCTTTAAAGCGTCATTCGCACTTACATAGCAAAAGACAAATTTTTGTCAATGTAATAAAGTAAAAGTTGAAAAAGCCAGTATCGTGATGTTCGAAATATTTTGCATTTTGAGGAATCTGCCGATTATCATCACCGACCTTGCATTTTTATTTTTCAATTAATCCTTGCAGAGACTTCCTCGACATCACCGAGCTGCCGCAATCTCCATCTCAATAGCAATAAATCTCATTCATAAATAACACGATAAGCTTCCAGCGGGACGGCCAACGCTAAGATAATAAATGCACGAGTTATCCCAGCTCATCCACAGGACGAGGCGTCGCACCTGCGATCAATGCGCCCCCTTTCAGCCGCCGTCAATTATCAACCGCCGATAAAATAGTGGGAGCCACGCATAACGGCACGAGGCTGACATCTGTCGCGTAAAAAGCATTAGCTCGAAGGATGGAAATAGCATTGGTTTTTTTTAAAAAAATTTTATTTTACTTTTGTTTGGTGAGTAGTGGCAGAAGCAGAAGCATCAACGGGGATAGTGAACGGGCAAGGAGGAAAGGCGTGAAATACTCGCTCGATCGATCGCTCTCGTCATCCTGGATGAACACGCGCGTGATGATGAATTTGAGACGATTAGAAGCTGGCCAGGTCGGTGGAAGTTCCGTCGCGATTCGCGGATACGAGAAATCACGTTTCCGTTGGAAGGATATGCGTAGGGCGCTTGCGCGACCTACGAGCGCCACCTGGCCCCGTACCGGGAAGGCTGATAGCTTGAGCCGAGCTCAATCAGAGTGGTAGAACACATCGGCGACATGTGCCAAAGCGACGCGTACTTTAAAAGAAAAGTGACAGCATGACAAGCCCTCGTTCCGACAAGTTGTACCTTTGAGGCTTCAAGACTCGTGAATAACGAATGACCATTATTTCAATTAGATCGCCGATTATTTTTAACCATAATGACCTATTTGAATACGTGGGAGGAGTTCGAAAAGTGCGCGGAAAGGTTATATTTGCAAGACCCGATGAAGGTAAATAGTTAATTAAGCTGTGGCATTTTAGAGATGCGCATAAGCGAGTGCTCGCTCACGTACGTTAATACGTTCGAACGTCAGTGCGTTTGCACGATGTGCACATGCACAATGCACAATACACGAGCATTTGGGCAGTGGGTGCACGCGCGCGCGCACACACTCTTTAATGCGCTAATAGTGTATTGTTGCACGCATGCATATATTCGCGGCTGGAAACATACATGTAATTTAATTAATCGAAATTGTATTCCATTAGGCACGATATACCATGAAATATTGCCACCAAAAAGGCATACTTTCTCTAAAATTTACAGATGATCGAACGGTAAGAATTTTTTTTTTACTTAATTATAACCTCACTCTCGCACAATCAATTCGACCGAATGGCCATTTAATTTATTCTTCTCTTATCCACCACCTCGGCTTTGTAAATACAATTTTTCCGACCTTCGCTCGATTATATCATTTATTCCAAATCATACGCTTCTTATGTAAATACTCGATCAATGCTATCATTAGTACATTATATCGCTATGCATTAACATTATTATCTATTAGAATTTCTTATTTATTCATATAATCGCCTTTTCATGTAAATCCATGCAAGTAATTTTAACTGTTTATTTTAGTGCCTACAATATAAGACTGAGATTGCCCAAGATGTTAAGAAAATGGAAAAATTTATAAAGAATTTAATGCGACATATGGCATCGAAAGACAACTAGTATGAGACGACAATTTCTAGGATATTAAGATTAAACAATAAACTTTTCATGGATTGAGAAGTAACACGTAAAGATTCAGCCTCTTATACATAATTAAAATGTAAAATTTACATTTTGCGATGGCAAAATTTTGTGCGGTTAAGCAACGACGCCATAAATTTTCCACAAATTATTTAAGCTAAGAATATAAAGTAGCGTCGATGCAATGTTTCCACACAGTATATTATGAGCGCTCTTTGTAATTATTGAATTATATAATATTTTAATAATTATCAATATTTAAGGAAATGGTTAGCATGTATTTTCATTAATCTCTGCTTATTGTGTACATTTATTGTTTAAGAATTATTTGATCAATACTTCTCTTGTTGCTCAAATTTATTTGATTATTTCTTATTTATTTTTCATACAGGAGAGTTGTCTCTATAAATGCTCGCAAGATACCCGAAGAATGCATCTTTATGCATTGCCAACTAGTCATTCGTTCCAAATCATTTACAGCCTGACATAACTATTACATATGGTAAAGTGATTTACCCCTTTCATTATTATCGACAGATAATTTAAACCATAGTCGCAATCTTGGTTATTTATTCATTCGCTTTCCCAAATTGTTCGTTTATATAAGAATTTCAGATAGACACGAGAGAAAAATAAGAAAATTTAATCTCACTCGAGTAACGAATAAGCGAAACTATTTGTTATTAGATACAATATGTTAATTAAAATTTCGATCGCAGCTTTAAGATAGGCGATATTATAATGTGATGGAATGTAATTAGTTAAAGCTAAAGGCCACGTAATAAGCTCAAATAGAAATTTGTTCGTTAAGCATCTCGACTTTGATACAATATGTTATGTCAATACTTTATGCGGGCAGAGATAAACGTGAAATATAGTTAAACTAAGATTGTTACATATCACTATTATGTAATATTAAAGTTAACTATATTTAAATAATAAAAATACGATTTATGTGGGATTATAGACTTTTATTTAATCGAGGTGTAAAAAATGTTCACTTCGAAAGGGAATATACAATATGTGCACTTCAGATTCAGCGGCAGATAGGTATGCGTCATTGTCTCTGCGACTTACTTTGGTTTGGTCCGACGTCTCCGGGTTAATGTACTGAAACAGATGAATTTTTATTTCGCGCGACTCAATGACGCAATGTCGGCCTGGATTAATGTCCACAGGTATTTTATCGGGCGCAATTTGTGAATTCCTATTTTACCGGTCTCGGTCGATAACGCGAGTGTGCCTGCTGCTACATCCTTCGTTTCAGGCAATCGACTTTCGCTTCCTAATGACGAACGATTCAACGGATTTTCAAGATAACTTCCGCACTATTTGTAAAATAATTTCCCCTCTACACTCGATTCCTTTTAATCTATGTAAATATTAAATAATACTTACGATATGATTGGCTGAAGTACAGCATCCAATGTTGCGTCACTATGAAGATAATTGTGCTTGGAAGTATCGGAAGGAAGTTTATAATATCCGTCTTCATCTAAATGCCTTTGTGTTGTCTACGTGAAAGAAAGTTTATTTTACTACAATTGACAGCTTCATTTATCTCCCCAAATTATTTTTCTTTCTTCTTTTGCTAAGGTATCGGATTATTAGGATATCTTAATGTGCGAATAAGATTAATATGATTGATCAATGATCGGAAACGGAAAGTAATTTAAATAATAAATCCAATATGAGATAAAAATATGATTCGTGAAATCATGTTATTACACACCTTAAAATCATCTTCGGAACATGTAAATCACTGAACTAATTAAATATTAATGTAAGATCGAATAAACGAGATCGATCACCAGTAGTTTTTTTTAAATTCAAACCTGCTGAAACAGTTTTTAATCTTCAAAGTTATTCTGCACAATGAGAACAATAAATCACAACAATAAATAAATATATATATATATATATATATATTCCCATAATGGGCTTTCAAATATTCGCATAGAAAAGAAAATCTTTCTTGGCTTTTGTTTTTCTTTTTTCATTCATATATTTTTAATAATATAGTTAATTATAAACGGCATTCTCATTTATGTGAAAAAATTCTGACTATTACAAGTGTATGTATATAAATACTTATTCATATACCTATCCGTCATGTATGCGCCAATAAGTTTCATTTTTGTTAGATCGACATTAACATCAATGTTTCCGCAATAAATTGATTCTATATGTTTTTAATAGATAACGAAAAAAAAGCAAAAAAAAAAAAAAAAACTAAGCAATACAAAAAGTTTGGCAAATGTAAATTACATCGAATTTTTCCTATTATTATTAAATAGATGAATCATGTGCATGAGATGTATAATATTTGTATAAGGGAAATTGATTTCCCATAAATAAAAATAATTTCCTTGCTACAGTTCACTCTGAATTTTAATGGATTACAAATAACAATAATAATAATAAAAAGTATTAACTAAAAAACATAAACGTTTACTGGTTATTATTTTTACATTTTTGCATTTTTCAAATAAAGAATAATAGACCATATATTGCCGTGCACATTTATGCTTCAAATTCATTAATGCAACATTAAATTAAGAAAATTAACAACAAGCTTACTTTGAAAACGAAAAACAATAGTCTCTGTATTATTCATGCCAAACACATTCGTAGACGTACGTATTGAAAATACGTGTAACTAAATTATGATATTTTTATCTCATATTTGTGGATACTCGTCAAACATATTTTTATCGTCTATTTTTGCTTGAGTTTGCCACGCTGTCATTCGACCAATGTTTATTATTTTCTTTCTTTTTCTATTTCTTTTTTTACGATATAGTAAAGATGTCTGTTATCAGAACTACAGCTTTGTATGGAATGTCTATTATGATGGATTTTCGGCATATTTCGCAGGAGAATTAAATATTAATTTACAATTTTAATCACCGCCTATGGGATATTGTAGGATGTACACGTTGTGGTCTGTCAAAAATTTCGTAATTAATGTAATTGTTTGTACGTAGACGCTTACCCGTGCGCCTATTATGCGCCTGAGAAATTATTATTTATCGACTATATACGTAGCGTTAAACATTCGAGAATTGAAAAGAAGAAATTAACGATAGAATTTTGCATGCTAAAAGTTAATGTGGAATATGTGACAATCGTAAATGATGTTTTTAATTATTAATTGTTGATTCGCCTATTAGAGAAATGTCTGTTCGAACATTTAGTCAATATTTCCGAATAACTTTGTGGGCCAACGGTTAAGCGAAAAGCGAAAAGCGAAAATCTAATGGAAAAGTCGATAGTTTCGTCTTCACTGTTGAAATATATAGGATTTCCTTCCTTGCATTACACTAAGAAAAAGTAAATATGAACGTGATTAGATTTTACTGAGAAACCACCAATTTGCAACAATCCATTATCTCATCCTAATAGAAATCCATTTACGACCAGAGTCTAGTTTGGAATACCGGTCATACTATTAGTACCGCGAATCATTGTATGCTTTCTCTCTCTCTCTCTCTCTCTCTCTCTCTCTATCTCTCTCTCTCTCCCTCTTGACTCAGACTTTTATGAAACCTCCGAGCCTCAATGATTCGATTACAATTATGTCCATATCTCTTACATGTTTAGTGAATATCCTTAATGCCGATCGTACTAAGAATTCTTTATTAGTTTATACCAAATGTAAATAATCCGTTGGCCTCGATCAGACTTTTTCGAATTGGACGCTCGGAATTTAATCGACGTTCATCGACTCCTTGTTAAAAACATTAAGCGGAGCTCTCGGAATACCGGAACACGGGAATAATGACAAGTTTGTCTTTAATTAAAGCCCGAGTCGGCTACTATCAAACTTCCTTGCCTCCGTCTCCTTCAATATTATCTCCCGCGAAATTATGCTACGAGCTCCAACGACCGCTCGTTCGATCTTCCAGCCCCTTATGGATATTACATATTCCCTTACAATTATAAGCCGTTTGATACTATTAAATCATAAGCGTATGATCGACATGCAGACGATGGTGTATTAGATTATTGGCTGAAATCGCTTGGCGAAGCTTTTTTGTAATTTCGAAATATTCATTTTCAGGGTAATCGATAAGCGTTAGCTCGGCCCAATTTGATGCCCAATTCCCCCATTAGTCGACCATACTGTCATTAAATAATAATTCTAAATCGAGAATCCGGCGCAACATATAAATCGAGGCTCTAGGCTCGATGAAATTGTATTTCACTCGTGCGCGACCAGATCCGATAATACAAGAGTACCGAGAAATCACATATTTCATGTGACATCCTCGTAGCAACAACTCTCGACGCAAAACTGTAGTTCTGATCGCAGTAATCGCTCCTCGCTTCTTCGTTTTAATCGCCAAAACTGGACGGTTCAGCGTAAATACGTGCATTTGCACGCCGAGCGGATCGAGATGGAAAATCGCGCTAAGGTCGATAGGAGGTTGTATAGGAGTGTGCTTATAGAGCGATTTTGGCGCGGAGTGTCGGGAGAGGCGGGATGGGGAGAGATCGGAGTTCGCGATCCGCCCGGAATGTCGCGTGTCGGCTTGTGCGACAATGCAATAAGTCATCCCAACTTTCCATGCCCTTTCGACAAAGCAAGAAAAATAACGATGGAGAAGGGAATGGGGTAGTAAGGGACGTACGGGGCGCGTGTGCTTGGCACTGTCGGCCGAGCTCGAGCAGCAGCTGGAAAAATCCTGTGTGGTGCTCTCTCCGAGGCCGCTGTCCGCATTGGCGCCGATGAGCCGGCAGACGCTGCCGCCGCGGGCCAACCCGAGCGAGGACGAGGAGGAGGACTCCTTTCTCGAGGAGTAGACCAGGTCGTGCCTGCTCCCATGGATTATCGGCTCGACCCGACTGCTCATGCGCGTCAGCACGGCAAAGTTATTCGTTGTACTTTCGTGGCACTGATACACAGTCCTACGGTCTTTCTTCACCGAGAAGCCCACGGCTCTGAAAGTTCGAATACGTCCAGCTCTCACTATTCGCTCTATCACGGCCCCAATCCTCCCTAGCCGTAATTTAACGAAATTTTACGCGCCCGACAACAACAACAACGACGACGACGACGACGACGACGACGACGACAACAATAACAACGACAAAAACCATGACCATGACCATGACCATGACCATGACCATGAGCATGACAATGCCATCTCATTCCCCCTATTTACCTCGATCACCCCCTACACCTCGGCACGGAGTTGCCCCTTCAAAGGATAAGGGCTATCTTCAATCCACTATCGACAATGATCTCGTTATCATCGTCGCGCCATTTTCTGCCTAATGACGCTCTCCTTTATTTTGCGAAGCTAATCGGGCACACGTAATGCACCACGAACGCTGCCAAAAGATATTTAGTCGGCTTTTGTGCGAGCGTGACGAGGTGTCGCGCCTGTGTTTGAGCTCTTGACTTTGGGGTAACTCAATGCGTGTTAATGCTTTCGCTTTTGGCCTTTGTGCATTCGTGTGCTGCTTTCTCCGTCTTTTATCTTCTCTTTGAAATTACCCTTTTTTTCTTTTCTCGTTCAATGACCCATCCGAGCCCATCCGAGCCCACCCCATCCCACCATTGCTCCGTGCTGATATGTTTTTCTTGCGAGTAGCTTTAACCGAAACGATATTGCACGAAGAATTGAGTTTTATAATAATCGCAACAAGGATTTTTTTTTTTATTTTCCAGGCAAAACTCTGAGATTCAAACTTTGGATAAAATTATCTTTAAGCAACAGTACCTCAAAACATTTTACTTCTTTTCAAATTATCATTAATAATCTTGTTTCCAATACGTTTAGCAACGTATTTCTTAGACTTTTAACTTTCCTTTTTTATTCATTTTTTTTTAACTCTCCGGTTTGTTCTTCTTTTTGTTTTTTCTTTTCAATACCATTTTTACCAGACTTTAGTCAGCTTAGAATAATAATAAGACAAAATTATGTTAAATCCAGCACTGAGAATTTACACTTCATTCGTCATCTTTTAATAATAATATATCTCAATCGAATAGATTTTTATTATTTATTTTTCTGCCTCTTTGACAAATCCATTTCATAATATACTATTTGGAGATAACCCTTATCCTTAATGATAACAATTGATTATCATCGTTTGATTTCTTTATTAATGCACAAATTCTATGTTCATGCATTATGTAGTCGTACTCGTTAGCTTTAAAAATTCGAATATATATATTATTAATATTAATGCTACATTAAGTTAAAATGACTTTGAAGTTGTAAAAATGAAGCTGTTGAGTGACG